CTTGTTTGAATTTTAGTAACTATTTTTCCAACTTCATTTATTTTTGAGATGAACTGTCGGCAGTGGTTTAGGATTATTTACAACAGCATCTTTAATTTATACAGTACTACCAGTCATGAACTATGCATGCAAAACATGGGCACTTAAAACGGACATCATAAGAAAGCTGCAGGTCGCACAACGCTCAATGGAAAGAAATATGCTGGGAGTAACCAAGAGACCGTAAAAGATTAGAGTGGATACGACAAAAGACACAGGTAATAGATGTCATCCATAGAGCCAAATCCCTCAAAAAATAGCAATGGGTAAGATAATTTGCAAGAAGAACGGACAACAGATGGACCACAATAATTACAGCATGCCACCCACGAAGAAGAAGGCCGAACCTGAGATGTGACCATGATATTAGAAAATTAGCATAGATAGCTAGGGTCCGCATAGCCAACAATAGACAACAATAGATCCAACTACAAGAAGGTAAATATGGGAGGGAGGCTACAACCATAATTGGAAATGGTTGAATAAGATTTTTTGATGAGGTGAAGAAAAAATATTTTAGTATTTTCCTTGGTTTGTATAATTTCTCGAATGCATCTATATGTAACTTTCCATGATGTTTCACTGCTTAACAGCCCTTGCATCATATTTTTAGTATTAAAGACTTGTTCGCCACTGTCCATTCATTGCAGAGGAATAGTGTGTGTTCACTATCAACTTTCTTGCAATACATGCACAAATTTGAGGTGGATCTCTCCCTTTTTATACAAATAGCTGTTAAAGCAACTATGCCCTGTGAATGCCTGAGTTAGAAAATAGTCTGTCTCTACAAAACTCTCTCTAACCAGGTATTAATGTCTGGTATGAGATCATGTCTCCATCTACCATATCTATCTAGATTCCACTCCTTTCGCCATTCATTCATTGTTTCTTTGCCTCCAGTTTTGATGTCCCTATGTATTTCTCTCTTGTCTCCTCTACAAGTAGGTGAATAGGAGGCACCCCGGATATGACATTTAATGCTTCAGCGGAGACCGTTCTATATGCACTGCAGATCTTGAGGTTCACATTGGCGGTGTATATAGCGTTAAGTTTTTGCCTTATATATCCCTTTGATATTGCGTAGTGCCACACTGGTGTGGCATATAACAGTTGAGAGTGTGCTACACAGGCTAGGATTCTACGTTTAGAAGCAAGTGGCTCCCTCTTATATTAGGCATCAACCTACACAGTGCGGTCAAAGTTCTTTCCGCCTTTCGTATGACTTGATTTATATGCTCGCCGAATGTAAGCTTTGAATCAAGCCAAACTCCAAAGTATCTTATTGCATTTTTGGAGCAATTGTTGTATCGAGAAGCTTAAATGAAATATGAGAAAGTTTTCTCTTGGTGGTTAATAAAACCGCTTCAGTTCTGCTTGGTGCTAGTTTTAAACCTTTGCGCTCGATCCAGTTGGCCACTCTTTGCAGTCCTGCATTAGCAACACTCATGAATGTCTTTTCGTTTTTGGCCGTGTTAGTTTTGGAGTGTTACTCCTTCGGCCATAACTGTTTCCAGTAGGTCGTTGTACTGGATGTTCCATATTGTTGGTTCAAGTACTGACCCCTGTAGTACTCCGCTGGTTACGTTAATTTGCCTTTTAGCAAGTTTAAGTATCATCTTCAATTAAAATTGTTCTTTCAGAGAGATAAGATGTCACCATGTTAGTCAGAGTGGCATCTGGTGACACCATAATTGGAAATGTTTGAATAAGCTGAGAATGATAATGATGATGATGATGTCAAAATTTACACTCAATGTCTCTCTCGCTCTCTCTGCAGTCGTAATTCGATTTCGAACGTCAAGACACAAACTTCTACCGTTCTCATTACATCAGACACCGATAGGCTTCTTAAAGTTGTAATTTGGTATGTACCTTTAGGTCCAATTTGGTCCTAAAGGGAACCGCCATCTCGTACATATTCCCTTAAATTTGTCCTGGATTGCTAACTTCTCATTTTTTTCTTTTTGAGGTGTATAATACTTTTACGTGCAGCGAGAGCTGAATCCTGAGCTGAGCCAATATGGAACTCACTCTCTCCTTAGGCGCACTAGAGACAATACCCACAAAACATTCACCCTCCTGCCATTCCTATCTGGACTCGGTGTACGCCTCTTCTCAAGTAGACGTAGGACTGTTTTTTAGTTATTTCTTTAGTTATATTAGATACCTCTGCTTATAACCCACAAAATTCTAAACGTTACTGGTTTGTGGTTTGGAATTAAATAAGACAATAGAAAATTTCATTAATGACTTATATTTAATTAACAATTATAAACAATCAATGTAATTGGCTGTGACAGTCTCGATTATATGAGATTAGATATGCAACTGGAATACTTAAGTGTTTCTGCTTCAGTTGGTTGGGCGAAAGGCCTCACCCTCTTCGCTGCACTCGTCCGCTGGTGGGTAGCTTGATTGTCCGGCTAACGTTGGAGAGCTTGTGAGACTCCACCAGTCTCAGTGCGTGAGCTACTTATGGGGAGGGTCAATTCTCGTATCTTCCTAGAAGATAACAAACAGCAGTATTCTACTCAACACAATTTATAA